CAGTTGGTCCTCTACTTATCCCTCACAGTCCCAGTGTTTCAACAACTATAGCCGGCTACACCATCCTTAAAAGGTCAAGTATTTTTATTAATGTTTGGTCAATAATGAGAGATCATGAGACTTGGAAAAATCCACTAGAATTTTAACTTGAGAGATTCTTGGAACATTAAGAAATTGGTGATTATAGAGGGAATAATTTCAATTATCTACCTTTTGGATCAATGGGGAGAATATGCACCGGGATTAATTTAGCAGAAAAGATGGTAATGTATGTGTTAGCCACTCTCTTATATTCTTTTGATTGGAAAGTGAAAAATTCTACAAATCTGAATTCATCTGAAAAATTTGGTATTGTAGTAAGAAAAATTGATCCTTTAATGGCGATAGCAACTATTAAATTGACTACTTTAGAGCAATATTGTTGAAACTTAAATGAATAAACTAAGTAGTTACTGTTAAATATGAGAGAATCCATTAAGTTATAATTAAAAAAATTATGATATAAATTTAGTATAAATAATAAATTATAAACCATGTAGTGAAAATTTTTAAACATGTCTCTAATTGTAAATCGTATTTGAGATATTCGAAATAAAATGCTATTGTTCGTCTCTCATTTAAAATAAATATACTAAATTTTTCTTAGAGTTTTGCTAACCAACTAAACTGTCTTTATTAATTGAGTAATAAGTAAGACTAGTCATATTTGATAATATCATAAATAATCTTTGGATGATGAACATTGAAAAAGATCTTGTCAAGTTTAAGACTACAACAACTCAACTTAAAAAGCAAGATCGGTAGAGCTGCAAAGAAAAAACAGATTAGATTTGTAAGAATCTGAAATCGCAACTCTGTACTTCAGCACAAAGAAGAAAAAAAATTTACCCTTCAAAAAATTAGATCTTCTTTTAGTTTTATTTTTTATGGTTCTAAAACTTTGAAATTTTAATTTTTGTATAACAAGACAATATAAGTTATTGTCAATTTATTGAATATATGTATCACTCTATGTAAACTTGAAAAGATATATGTAGACTAAGAACACGCACGCCCATATTTATTATTCCTATAAACATTAATTAAAATTCGGGTTATAATCTTCGTCGGCAATTATTCTATCCAAACCACCTGGCTCGACGTAGTATTCCAAATAAATTATGGTTTAAGATTCAGTTGATAGGAAACTATGTGCAATGCAAGACAAATTTAGGTTTAGGTTTTTACATACTAAATTTTGCTCATAACAAATTCATAATGCTTATATGTATTTTTTATTTTTTATTAATATTATATATATAATGAGATCCTTAAAAGTAAGTTACGAAGAATTAGAGAGAGATGTTGACAATGGAAAGATTTTAGAAAATTTTGATACAAACCAACTTCATTATTTGTAGTCAATTATGAAGGAAACGATGAGAAAATATCCAGTTGTTCATATGCTAATCCCTCACAATCCAAGTGTTTCAATAACTATAACTATTTACGCCATTCATAAAGGTTAAAGTATTTTTATTAATATTTCGTCAATAATAAGATATTCTTAAATTTTAAAAAAAAAATCCACTTAAATTTTGACTTTGAGATATTCTTAGAGTATCGAGAAATTGATGACTAAAATAAAGATACTTGTAATAATCTTTCTTTTGAATAAGGAAGAAGAATATAAATATGAATAAGGAGGTTGACGCAGAACTAGTACATACTGTATTGAAGTCAAAAGCTGAAGACCGATCGGAATTTGGGTTTGTTGTGGACGATTGCAGAGAAATGCTGGAGGAAAGAGGAAACATATGTGTAAACTGGGTCCCTAGGAGTTGCAACAATGCGGCTCATCAAATTGCCCGCTCTGCATGCTTGTATCTTGATTTTCATGTATGGACGGGTCTAACCCCAAATGTTACGAGTTGTTTATGATCTTAATAATATTTGGCCATTTCAAAAAAGAAATAAAAAAGAATATGAATTGGGATTAATGTAACACCCAAC